CTGAAAACGGACACTGAATGTGGCATGGCATCCACATCCGCACACACACACACACACATACCTTGGCCGCCGCACTAACTGCTGCTGTCAACCCTTTTGGGCCCTAACTCCCCTCCACCCTTTCGTCATATTATTCAAATTGAAACCGTTTTTCTGTGTACTTTTCGCATTTTTTTTTTTTAGACTCGAAACTGGAAACTGCCGCCCCATGATTAATTCACGCAATTCGTATTGGATTTGGGGTGTTCTCAATTCTAGGTTTAGTTGACACCATGTTTAAAACCCTTCTCCTGTTTGGGCACTTGACTTGGGCAATTGCAATTGCAATTGCTTCTTTGACAAATTGTAATCGTGTGTGAGGCGGCAAAGAAGTGCTTCTGGAAATTAAAAATAGTAAACAAAACGACCTGGTACGTGAATTACTATAAGAAGGGGAGGGAGTACAGGGTTTACACTGAGAACAAAACCGTATTTACAGACAAGAAAAACAGAAACCAAATCTTTTTCTCGCTTACCTCTGGCCCATAATGTAATGCACCGCTACTTCGACTCGCTGCTTACCTTCTGTTCATTCTGTCGATTAATTCACAATTTATTTATCTTTCCATCTTTGATCTGCGTGATTTATAACCTTTTTTTGTCCATTTTTATGTACAACGCGAACACAAGTGGAATAATGTGACCTATTGGTGCCATTTACATGTGTGCATACATACATACTCGTAGATCGAGAGCGCACCGTCCTTAATCACGCTCTTGTTGTTTTTTTTTTCGCATCATTCTACATGATGCAGTCTGCTCTCTTGGAATGGAGAGTGGGAGTGGGAGTGGAGAGTCTTGGAGAACGGCTCTCGCGCTTGGCTTTAACACGCACACACACTCATACACAACGAAAAAAGTGAGACACCTCAAAGCAGGGCGCTCCGCTAACTAAGCAACATTAAATAAATAAATACGTTTATGTATATGCATATCTAGTACATATGTAATACACATTTTACACTTCACTTGGTCATTTTTGCGCACTTTTCATTCACTGGACTGCCTTTTGTTTTGCTTACAGTTGTTCCGGCACTTGATCGCGTTGTGGCGCCGTTTCTGCTCAGCTTCTTCTGCCTCTCTTTAAGTCTCCTCTCTACAACTGCAAAATGAGTTTTACCGTTCCAAGTAGACTTTTTGTGTTGTGAAAAGGATGAAAAAAAAAAGTAGCCGCTGGAGAGTTCAGGCTGGATCCAAGTACATGGAAAATCAAACAGCTGGAAGTAAATTCACAAATATCTGCCAACAGGAACGGCATTTTAATACAACCAAACACTGTAAGATCTGTGATACTATGTATGTATATGTTTTTCAAGGGTATAAAAAAAACTCATCGAACAGGACGTAGTACCTTCCTTACTGGTTAATCTGCTAATTGAAAAAATAAAAAAATGATTTGATATTTTTGCACATCTGAGTTCGCCGCAATTTGTCATACATATGTACATATGCAACGCACGTGTCGCACAGTCAACGGAATACATATAATTCGCACGATTGATGGTTGACATTTTTTAATTTTTCTAAAATTTTGCAATTTGCAAATCAATCAAATTTAGCAAATTGTCTGGAGAATATTTATAGAACCAAAATGCATTAAATTACAATTGAATATCAAGTGCTTTCGAACAGAAATTATGAAGGGGAATCTGAAACCGGATCAATCTTCATGGATTGATGATTGTGTGGAATTTGGCAAATAATTTTATTTTTTTATTTCTATTTACAGAATGAAATCATACGAGTTTCTAGGCCATTCGATTGCGCTTTTGAATCGGGAGGATCAATAAAATAAAAAGCAGAACACACCCAAGCCTTTAGACTCGCGATTTAAAAATAGAAAATGGCAGAATACTTTCCCCCGCAAATTCAAAATGAAATTCTCATTCGTGTGGCAGGAGGAAACATAATCTAGCAAAAGGACTTGACTTCTGGCTCGCCCCCAGTCGGGGGAACTGCGAAATGCATTAAAATGATAAATGAGTGCGATTATTTCCCTATTACCATCAAATTAATACAGCTCCTCTGGTTAGCGCCACTTGGCCGTGCTTGGCGGCTCCGTTACCTGTGCCGCACCCTAGTAAGAGCCAACCAGGCGACGACCAAGCGATTTATTGGCTAAAAATGAATTACAAAGCACAAAAAACAAAAAAAACAGAAAAAAAAAAAAAAGGGGGCCAAATCAAACACAATCAAGCGAATTGGGTTCAGCTGAAGTTCCAGTTCAGGTTACAGCCATGCCGAGCTTGTCCTGTATTGTTGGTTGTTGGTTAAAAATAATCAGACCATTTCGTGTGCCCCTGCCCCCAAGGACAACTGGTTCCCGGGGGGTAAACATCGTTTGTCAAGGGCTTTGACTGCCAAGAACTGGGCACTCCAGTTGCACATCGAGACCAGGTGGGGGGCGCTGGATCCTTTTGACCAGGTTAGACCTACGTGTGTAGCGGCCGTGCGATAAAATAGCCCGTTACAAAATATTTGTTGACATTCCGCGGTAAATTACCATAATTAGTTGATTCGAGACCGACCCATGTTTGATCTGGGGTGTGTGTGTGCTGTATGTCTCCATGTCAGCTCTCCAGTTAGTCAAGGCAGTCAGTCAACATAATGCCAAAAACAGGGTCACTGCCACTGCCACTGCCACACAGAGGCCACAGCTAAAAGGATAATAATTAGAGCATATGTACGGATTGAGTGCAAATATTGACTAGAGCTGCGCTGCCTCTGCCCACCATTTGTCATCATTTCGTGTCTCGTTCTGGTGCGTAAGCCCAAATTAATCAGTTTGGTATCAATATCCGAGCAAACATTGCTTCACATAAAACATATGTATGTATGCATATCGAGCATACAATATGTCCAAAAAGGATACACTGCATGGCTTGAGGGGGGAGGGGGGGCGATGAAAAACTATTGTGGTTGGGCCGGCTATGGAACATTGCAAACCAATATTTAACAGTAGTCTGATTTCGTTTGGTGGTTAGAATTGAACCAACCGTTTCTTAAGCCTATTTGGCTTTTTCTTCTTTTTGTTTTTTTGCTTTAGTAAATCCTTAAAATTATATAGAAGATAGAAACTCTACCTCTTTAAGGAGTATCATATACTGATAAAGCACTACCAAATAGTCCGTATAAACACACAAAACAAATGTACATTAAAGAGATTCGTAAATTAAGGATAAATCTAATTTGCAGAAACCAAACCAAAAATCACTATTTTAGAGCTCTTCATGGGCCCAAGGTTAACCTCAGAGTTCTCCTTTGCAGCTTCACAATGACAAAGTCATTAGTTGAAACTCCCTACTTCCGTTTGTTTCTGTTTCCGGGTGGCAGCAATAAAGTCCACGATGACAGAGGATGAACCAATGGACCGCAAATTAATCCCAATTCCCTCTGTTTTGAGCCGCAGCCACAATTAATATGCGAAACCACCGCCCCACGCCCATATCCGCAGAGAGAGAGAGAGAGAGAGAGAGAGAGAGAGGATTAGGACAGTTAAATGACTTTAAATTAAGCCGATGTGCGTCTGTCGATTTAATTAAAATCAAAACCAAATCTTTGCCCCTGACCCCGCCTCTTTTGCCCAAACGAAATAGACAAATAATAAAAGCATAAATAATGCAAAACAATAAATGAGCAAATATTCATAAATTATTAACGCCCCTGCCTTGAGAGTCGTGACTGCTGAAGGGGGCGACTGCTACAGCGACTCCTCACAAAAGACTGCACAAATACCCAAAATATTTTGCCAAAGCATTTAGAAGGACAATGAGGCACGAACGAGCACAGTCCAGCCCAGCCCAGCCCAGCTCCGGAACCGAAGGCCAGATGACAGGAATGGTGGAAGAATAGCAAATCCCCGCAACAAATAATTGAGCCTCATAAAGGAAATATCATTCATTGATTTTCCTCTTGCGACCACAACAGACTCTCGACCCCTCACTCGCTCATACACCCCACCCCGACAGCAGCAGCAAGTGGATGAAGACCTATTCCTTGGCCGAGCACAAAATGGGGTGCCAAACGCTTGGTGTTGGATGGGGTAGGGTGGCGGTTGTGCCACCAGGGGGAGGCTGTCAGCACAGAAACAATATGGACAGCTGACGAAACTACTATCACACCCAGGCGATGGCCACGCTTCATGGGGAAGATGTTCACATGAATTTCGAAATCTATGCCCCGTCATGATTTGCACAAAAAATATACTTCGCCCAGAGACAGAGCAAAGGGACTAGGCAGGATTTTTGTGTTGGACAGGGGGAAGCCACAAAAAGACAAATGATAAATTATGAAGGCGATTTTTGTTAATTTGATGACATTGATAACGGGCCAAGACCAGATTACTCCAAGTGTTCAGCGCAGAGTCTTTGTATTCAAAATATTATTGGTCCGGTCAAAAATGGAGTGAAAGGTGGAACCAACGGCAAGGAAGATTCGTATGGTAATTATTGCGAAAAAAAAAACCAGGAGAGAAGTGCCCTGGGGCAACGTATGACAGCAACAACAAATTGATTTTATTTAGAAGCAAGAAAAAACACACCTATTTGAATCATCGAATAATTTGAGAACAAATGATTTTGAATCGACCGCCAAAAGAAAATACAATTCAGCTTTCCACAGAGTACATTACTTCTAACAGCAGCTAGCTTTTGTAAGTGAGCTCTTACTAGGGCTGCAAAACAAATCAAACAAAGCAAAGTGGAAACAAAATACAATCCGTGGAACCTTATTATGTAAGCAATCTAATGAAAAGGAGTTCGGAAAACTAGCCAATCTTGTGCAAAATTCATTGAGGAATTGGATAAAATTATTTGTTTAGGGCCGAGAGGGCCAACTAGGTAGTCATTTTAAATCGAATATCAGTATATTTTATCAGTATATTTGCGGTATATTTTTATGATGACAAGGTATATTTTGGTATATTTCTGGGGGTCAAGCGGTATATTTCAGCGATAAATCCGCGGTCACACTGCTTATAGCATTTCGAAAAAAAATAAATAAAAATAGCAACAAATGCCTAAAACGTAAGAATAAGTACACCATATTCGAGCAAATATGAGTGCCTACAATCGGAAGATGTTGAAAAAGAAGAGCTCCAGCGTGGGGGCATCGTCCGACGCCGAGATGGACGAGTCCGGCTACATGTCCTTTCGAGTGCAGCACAACTCGACCGCGGAGGCGCCATTTTTGTTGGAACGCGAGTGCGAGAGCGAGAACTGTCGCAATGCAACAAATACAACGCTAACCAGAGGCTTTGCCTCGTCGCTGTACCAAACGCCGTCCGACAGCCATTCGAGAGATCAATTCTGGAGCAGGAACTACCCGCTGACCGTGCCCGCCAGCAACAGCTCCAATAGCTTCGACGAGCCCTATAGGACGCCGCACCTGCAGGATGTACAGAGTGTACCGAAGCGGCGCAGGAAGCACTTTCTGGCGCCGCACAGCAGCCCGAAGAAGTCGAAGAAGCTGCTGTTCCCACAGCCGGACGAGCCACTGAACAAGAGACGCTACTTCGATGGCTTGGAACATTGCGACATCTTCAGTATGCTGAGCCAAACCCAGCCGGCCCTGGAGTGCATACTGAAGCATGTGAATGGCCAAACGCTGGACGTAATGACCAAAGTATCGAAAAGCTGGGAGCTGACTGTCTACAAGAGCCAGCGGTCCGTGGAGCGACTGCAAAATCATCGCCTCAAGATGAGCCTCACCAAAGAGAATCCCTATCTGCCCAAGAGGAGACACAATGTGTTCAAAACCAACTCAACAGTGCCATTACAGACTTCGAATAGTATAAACGCCAATCACACCTCGTCTCTCTTCGATGCAGCCCACAACAGTCCCCAGCTGATGGAGGCAGACGCCGGCCGCGTATTGAAGGAGCAAACCCAACGAATCAAGTGTCCGCGCTGCGGCAAGGGCAGCCGCGTCTTCGTCAGCGAGGCTGTGCGGGAGCGCAGCGAGGGGAGCCAGCTGCTGTCGCAAACACTGCCACCGAATAGAAATTCATTTGCCATCAGCACGAGGCCACCCATGTCACGCTTCCTGTCGCTGGATCTCGAGGAGATCAGGGGCTCGCAGCCGACCTACAACTTTGCCGAATGTACCAGTGTCATCTGCAAGTTTCGCTTCTGCATTAACTGCCTGTGCAAGTCGCATCCGGGCGAGCGATGCCTGGTCACCGAGCTGGGTACACCCTCAAAGCTGATGATGCCCAGCGAGAGGCTGACGCCACCGCCGCGCAACCAGAGGCAAGACTACAAGCTCAAGAAGAAGAACTCACTGAAGCGCTTGTGCTTTTAATTCCATAGTTTTAGTTAATTGTAGTTGGTAGCAACTTGAAAATGTTCGTTTGCCCAAGTTCTTTTTACGTTGAGTATTCGAGTGAGTTCGTATTATGTTTACTTTGCGTTAAGTTAAGTTCCGTTTTAACTGTTTGTCATCCATCACCACACATGCATAACAACACACAAATTATCATTAATATGTACGTACACATTTTTACACTGTTCTCGCCTCAAGACTCCTGAACAATCTGTACCTCTGCTCTGTGAGATTAAGCCACACACATACAAAAGTATTTTTTACATTTTAAAAATATAAGAACCATACAAACATCTAAGATTTAAGTTGTGTTGTGTTGTATCTTCCTGAATGCGTAGGGAGTATTGTGTTTTGTGCTTGGTCAGGTATCAAATAGAAAGCAGCCAGTCGCCACAGAGTTCCAGTAGATCGATCGTTCCTATTGAACAAATAGCATAAATTGAACTACAAATTGTTGTTTGTCCTGGCTTATTCTATATCTTTTTTAAGGTTCGATGCAGTGTCTCGCATCCTAAATCTTAAATCTTGTCTTGTTTGTGTGCCAAAGGAGAGTTTTACTGCCGCTCTTTGCGATTCTCATAGGTAAGTAGCTAAGCAGTAGTTTGATGGGCAAGTTGGCACTTAAATATGTTTATTCCCTCTCCTTCATATCTAGTGAATTGAATTGAATTTGTTAAACTTAGGACCAAAACAATGGACTGAATTTCTATGTATTGGAATAAGTTTGTATTATTTTTATTATTTCTTTATTTTTAGTTTTATAAAAATTACTCTCAAACATTCCTACCATTTTAAACTTTTTAAAAATTTTCAATGGAAATTCCGATATATCGATGGAACGACCATCGTTGGTTTTATGCCACCCAGGAAAGTCAAAGACCTTCTAACGAATGTCAAAAAAATAAAAAAAATATTTCCGGGTGCTTTTTTATCCAGAAATTTAAAGGGAAATCTCTAATCCAGTTTATGTTTACGGATACAAAAACAATTTAATATTGCCGAAAATCCGAGTTGAAAGAGGACAATTCTTGCTCAGAAAAATCAGAATAATTTCTCCTAAAATGAATACTGCTTTGAGCCATATTAAAGGTGTATTTACTGTATTGGGAATAAATGCGGGACTTATTTTTGAATTGTGAATATGGAAAATATGTTGGATATGTCGCGTTTTCTGGGTTAACTTTCTTATCAGCACTGCTTATGTGTTCTTTGGCGAATGAGTCCCGAGTGCACAATTATCCAAGCAACGTGAATCATAGTTCGAACAGGGCTATCGGCATTGGGTCACTGAGGAGTTTTGAGCGGTCCGTTGGGAGGGGCGCTTCAGTAAGAGTAATCTCTGAATATGCTCTTGTGTATTTCTATGAAAAGTCTTCCAAACTTTAAACCACAGGACACATCCTAATTTTTGCAGTCTGTATACAAATAAATATAAAATTTTATCCATATACAATCTGATTATCCAACTAATCGTGCTATATTTCTGATAACATCTGCTCCTTTCACTTGCAGATTCTCTGAATTAGAATGCTGCTGATATTTCACGGGTTGGCTGCCAGTCTGCTGGCTGCAGTGGCCTCTGCTGGAACCGAGAGGGACACCATTCCCGGCTGTGACTACTTCGACACGGTGAACGTGACGGGGAGCCAGCGGCTGATCAATGGTTCGTTTCTGTACCAGGGCCTGCTCATTCCGGCCGAGCTTACGGCTGAATTTTGCCACAGGCTAATGCCGGACTACACCACGCAACCGGTGGAGAAACATTTGCGAGGATGCGTTTGCCGGCTGAGGCCCTGTCTGCGGCTCTGCTGCCACCACTCTCAGTTGATGGCCAATGGGCAGTGCGGTGGCAGCATCGAGATGGACCTGACACGACTGAATCCGTACCTGAATGTGACGCTGGACAATGGCACGGTGGCAAGGCGACACTTCCAGACTGAGTTTGTCATTCAGAGCGATCTGCCGATTCCCTGCAACGATATGTACCCACTCAACGATGGAGAGGAGATGGATCAGTACATAGTGTTTGAGGTTTGGACCCCCGCCATCTGTACCCCGTATCCCGCGAATTCTAATGCCAGTGATCTTCCTTAGAATGGGTCCTTCTTCCGATCCTACGACAGTGCAACGATGAGCAAGCGGGAATACTGCCTTCAGCCGTATCACTTCAACAAAGGCGAGACGGAGTCATTCCGGATAATTGCCCACGACTGCACGATTGAGTCGAAAGAGTCGAAAGTCGACAAGATTGGCCAAACCATTGGTGAGCACTGTTCCAATCCTTTCCGATCTTTGATCACATCTAAACTATTTCTTTTGCTATCCTCAGTGATCGTGCTTAGCCTCTTGTGCCTCGCCTGCACGATCACCGTCTATCTGTATCTGAAGAAGCTGCAGAATCTCCATGGAAAGTGTTTCGTTTGCTGTCTGTTCTGCCTGTTTATAGTTTACCTTTGCCTACTGCTGGACTTGTGGGATCTGACAATGAACATTTGCCAGCCATCAGGTAGTCTTCCTTATCGGATATTAGTTCAGAAGCAATCGAATATCAACCTCTCTTCCCACTGTAGGTTACATTGGCTACTACTTCGCGATGGCCATGTTCCTGTGGCTGTCAGTCATCAGTTGGAATCTCCGCTGCACACTCGGCTGCAGTGTGAGCGCTCTGAGTCGGGATCTGCCGGCATACGTGTTTCTTGTGTGCCACATCTATGCCTGGGGAGTGGCGCTCATACTCACGGCCGTCACTTATATGGTGGATCACCTAGTGGAGGATAATGCGGAGAATGAGTCCTGGATGCCAGGCGTTGGGTTCTACAACTGTTGGATCAAGAGTGGGTCGCTTAGCTGTCTCCTGTTGGGTTGGACTAACAGTATTCAACAGTATTCAACTCTTCCTGTAGCTCACGACTGGTCGGCCATGCTTTACTTCTATGGACCGATGTCGATTCTGATCATTTTCAATGTTACCATGTTCATTCTCACGGCAATGCGAATTGTTGCGGATAAACGCGAACTGCAGGATATTGGCGATCGCCAGGAGAGAAAGCGCAAACTAAACTCCGACAAACAGACGTACGAATTTTAACCGCACATGTTCTAACAGATATCATCAATCGATTATCGATTGTCTGTGTTCTTATCCCACTCACAGCTATTGCTTCTTTCTGCGACTCTTCATCATCATGGGCGTGCACTGGAGCCTGGAGATACTCTACTACTTGTTGCAGGACGACCGGATAGTGAATAAAGTGTTTCTGGTGGCCGATTACTTCAACTGGACTTCACAGGGCATCATCATCTTTTTCCTGTTCGTGATGAAGCGCAGTGTTTTGAGGTTGTTCAAGGAACGGTAAGCGATCGGGTTGCATCACGAAAATATCTCCGTAACGACCATTGTTCCGAGGAAGATATATCACTCGAAGAGTGCTCGAGGTAAAGCGACTGATTCTCCTCTCATTTCATTGGTGTTTGGCCTGTACTTTGGTGTCGGCTAACTACTAAAACGTATTGAATAGATCTCTACTCCCAGCATGGTTAAGGTTCTCTTTTCTGGTGCTAGCTTTAGTAATTTACTGGTCAGAATTCTGCTAACCCGTTTGCTCCCTTTCTGCCTGATTTCTATCCTCAACTAAACCTCTAACATTTGATCTCTCTCCTAGAAATCAGTCAAGGAACACACGAAGTGTCGCAAGCATCAAATTCCACTCGAGTCGCAATACAAATGGACGTCAAACAGCTCAACTCCCGCAAGATAACTCAACCGCGCAGGTCTCTATCCAGATGTAGGAGCCATTCTATGGAAAGCTTACTTACGGCCAATACCAGACACCATTTTACCGCTTCGTGCCAAACCATCGTTTTTTTATTTTATAGATTTGGGTCTTAAAAAATGTTTAATGCCATTTTTTTTCTGGGCAGAACTTTTTTTTAAATAATTAAAAACACATTTTTTTTTTTATATAATTTAATTATCCTGAATATGGTTGTAATGAACTTGGCATTGTGAAAAGCTGATGAATGCATCTATAAAGTATACCTGAAAATGTTGTAGCTTCAAAAATTTTTTTACTTTAAAAACTCAGATAAAATTGAACAAAATCTTAAGAGAATGCATAGTTATAGCAATTATCCAGAAAGAAATAAGTTTGTCGTTAAATTTGAATTGACGAGCTCATGGCAAATATTCACGCAGAAATCATCGCTATACCGCCCGAGATGCTCGAAAATTTAATGGAAAACGCTGCAAAAGAGGTACATTTTACTGTGTCCAACAATGGCGGCCACTGGATACTGGATTAATTTTGTTTTCCAAAATTAGTCTCAGCAAACTCTAAAAGAACCAAATTAAATAAAAATACCCTTTATATAAAAATAGGTTGACAACTGTCAAACTTATTCAAGGTTTGCATAGAGCACTAAAAGTTGGCGTACCCTGTACATATGTACATATATGTATATATATGCTTTAATTTTTATCGAGATCATTATATGCCCGCCTGACTATACTTATCACTCAAACCCGCTGACTTTGCACTTTGGCACTTTCTACACTTTCATATTTAAAATGATGCAACTGTACATTTCTTAGGAGAGAAAATGAGAGAAAAAGATTTCACTATGAGAAAATTCATCAATGAAGATTAATTTGCAGCCAAACAAAATAAAATAAAATGGATTTGCACAAGGCACAAGAGCCCAAGCATCGGCCTTGAAACATAAAATTTCATTGTTGTTTCTATGCGGCGGTAATTAGATTTCGAAGAAATCTAATAAATATTGAAATAAATTAATTCTATATAAGATTTTCGGGGAAAAATAGCACCATTAAAGAGGCTAAAGTCCGGGTCACTATTCCAGAGATTTCAGCAAATACCGATTAAAATGAGGAAAGCGAATAACTTTAACAACTTTCAGATACTCTTGCTAGGCAATTGATTCTATGACGGATAAGTTCCCTGAATTCTTGTATAGTAGCTGTTCTAAATTGAGGATATGGAAATAATGGCAGTGATATGGAATTTCATTTAATGCAATTTCATAAATGAAAGAACGACAGCTATAAGATATTCAGCATACCCGGCCTTGGTCCATTTAATTATAATTCGAGTCCATGCCGGAAGCGGCGAACAACTTAAATATATACATATATAAAAATACATATTTTGATACATACATAATATATGAAAAGATTAGAATTAGTTTAAAATTTAAATATATGCGTACATGGGCGTACCCAGGTAGAGGCTGGGAGGGATGAAGCTTCCCCCATCCATTAAGCATAGTTTTTGGTAAGAAAAACCAATTTTAATTGAATGACATTTTTGTTGTTTAAGTGATTTCATGTGAAAGGGGTGCCGCCCCTTCGCGAAATCCTGGTTACGCCCTTGTACATATGTATACTGTATTAAGCATGTCGTATGAGCAAAGTGATAACAATAAATATATTTAAATGGGACTTGAATTGGAAATCAGTTCAGTTTTGCATCGACAGTGCGAGAGTCAAGTGAAATATGAAGTTCTCGACGTTTCTGGTCCTTATCCTTTGGATGTTTCTGCAGGGGATGTCCTCCCTTGCCAGTGGATACGAAATGGCGCAGGATGTTAGCTTCCCGGAGCAGTGCCATGGATATTGTTTCTCAGTACTCCAGCCATTAATCGATCATGTTCTCAAGTTAAAAGAGGCAACGGATGACAATGATAAAATGAAAGTCGAAAAAATACACTCACTGGAGCTTACCATTAACAATTTGCAGAGTCAGCTACTAAAAAGTGAGACGGAAATAAAAAACAATGTGGAGCAAATCAAGGTTAAAGACGAACAAATCAAGCAGAAAGACGATCAAATCAAGCTGAAAGACGAACAAATAAAGAATCTCAGAAAGCAAATCAAAGGGAAAGTCGGGGAAATCTACGGGAAAGACAAAGAAATCATCATGAAAGTCGAAGAAATCAAGAATCTCAGAGAGGATGTGAAGATGATTTCGTGTCTCAATAGTCCAAATAGCGTTTTTGAGATGAAGGTCAAGGGAATGGAGCAGTTTGAAAGTCCCTGCGATTCGCCTCGATGGACGGTCATTCAACGGCGTATCAACGGAAGTGTTGACTTTAATCGCAGCTGGACGGATTACAAAGATGGATTTGGAGATGAACGGGGAGAGTTCTTCCTGGGACTGGAAACAATCCATCTAATGACCCTGGCCCAGCCTCACGAGTTGTACATCATACTTAGAGATGTGAATGGAACCACAAAATATGCTCGATACGATGATTTCGAAGTAGGAAGCGAAAATGAAGCCTACAAACTGAAATCGCTGGGAGAGTATTCAGGAACGGCCAGAGATTCATTTAGTTACCATCTAGACATGAAGTTTACCACATTGGACCGGGATAATGACCTGGCTGAGGAAAGCAATTGCGCGGAAAATCATGCAGTTGGTTGGTTTAAGAAGACTATGAAGTGGTACTCATATTTGTGAATGTGAATTCAGACGAATTTATCGTATTAATTTTCTTATTGTTACAGTTTGCTCAATGCAAAATATTATGACGATGGTAAAAGAACTCCCCCTCAAAAATTCGGCATTCATTGGGCTACTTGGAAGAACTACAATGACTACGCGATCTCGCTTACATTTTCTCAAATGATGATAAGACCTAAACCGTTGTAAAATGAGTCTCTTTAATGACATTTTAATAGTTAAGTTAATCCAGAAAGACGAATATATTTATCCACTTTTAATTTATGCTAAAATGAGTTTACAATTGAATATTCAAATATTTGTTAGCATTCATTTTTAAAGCTTCCTTCATGGTTTTAAAAGTACTGTTTGGACATTTTGTTTTCCCTTCCTGGTTTTCCCAATCCAATAAAGGGACTCCTTGAAATAAGCTAAATTGTGGTAAATTGATTCATCAATCGGATACAATTTTCCGGGGTACCACAGAAATCACTTCCGCTTAAATGTCTCCTCAATTCCATTCAGCGGTGCCACACACCGATTTCTACGCTGTTTCGAAATCGCGCCCTTTTGATCCAGCGATTTGATTAAATACACCCATAAAACAATTGTATCCTCATCCATGGGTATGGGTATGGGTGGGGGGATGCCGCTACCTCGCTTTCGCTATTCACAAAACAATCCAAAAAGCAACTAAAAGAAATAGAGAGAGGGATCAGTAATATGTATGTTTACGTAAAGCTCGGCGGCCACTGTCTGAATTACTCACTTGATCAACTGCTGAGCAGAGGGCTTGTGGAAGGGCACATCGGATAGCAGATTGTCGAGGAATTGCTTGTAGGAATCCGATGAAGGATCATCCTCTCGAATGGCCGTCACAGCGCCCGTCATCAGTGGCATGCATAAAGATTGTATGGCAAAATTGCCATTCGCCAGCGATGCCAGGGCAGCAAATAGCCATTTTCGATTTGAGTGTCAAAGAGGCACTGAGAGCTAGATCCACGACCAGCAATCGCCAGAAAGCCCTGAAATTGCCTTTGGGTGAGTGCCAAATGGCTTCTAATTATATTCCTTTGTACTATTTATGGCCCTTTTTGAACCCATAGGTTTCCGTTTAAACACCACGGATGAAAAGGCCAAGCGTGTCTACGAGAAACTCGCCTCAAGACTCCTGAACAATCTGTACCTCTGCTCTGTGAGATTAAGCCACACACATACAAAAGTATTTTTTACATTTTAAAAATATAAGAACCATACAACCATCTAAGATTTAAGTTGTGTTGTTTTGTATCTTCCTGAAAGCGTAGGGAGTATTGTGTTTTGTGCTTGGTCAGGTATCAAATAGAAAGCAGCCAGTCGCCACAGAGTTCCAGTAGATCGATCGTTCCTATTGAACAAATAGCATAAATTGAACTACAAATTGTTGTTTGTCCTGGCCTATTCTATATATTTTTTAAGGTTCGATGCAGTGTCTCGAATCCTAAATCTTAAATCTTGTCTTGTTTGTGTGCCAAAGGAGAGTTTTACTGCCGCTCTTTGCGATTCTCATAGGTAAGTAGCTAAGCAGTAGTTTGATGCGCAAGTTGGCACTTAAATATGTTTATTCCCTCTCCTTCATATCTAGTGAATTGAATTGAATTTGTTAAACTTAGGACCAAAACAATGGACTGAATTTCTATGTATTGGAATAAGTTTGTATTATTTTTATTATTTCTTTATTTTTAGTTTTATAAAAATTACTCTCAAACATTCCTACCATTTTAAACTTTTTAAAAATTTTCAATGGAAATTCTGATATATCGATGGAACGACCATCGTTGGTTTTATGCCGCCCAGGAAAGTCAAAGACCTTCTAACGAATGTCAAAAAAATAAAAAAAATATTTCCGGGTGCTTTTTTATCCAGAAATTTAAAGGGAAATCTCTAATCCAGTTTATGTTTACGGATACAAAAACAATTTAATTTTGCCGAAAATCCGAGTTGGAAGAGGACAATTCTTGCTCAGAAAAATCAGAATAATTTCTCCTAAAATGAATACTGCTTTGAGCCATATTAAAGGTGTATTTACTGTATTGGGAATAAATGCGGGACTTATTTTTGAATTGTGAATATGGAAAATATGTTGGATATGTCGCGTTTTCTGGGTTAACTTTCTTATCAGCACTGCTTATGTGTTCTTTGGCGAATGAGTCCCGAGTGCACAATTATCCAAGCAACGTGAATCATAGTTCGAACAGGGCTATCGGCATTGGGTCACTGAGGAGTTTTGAGCGGTCCGTTGGGAGGGGCGCTTCAGTAAGAGTAATCTCTGAATATGCTCTTGTGTATTTCTATGAAAAGTCTTCCAAACTTTAAACCACAGGACACATCCTAATTTTTGCAGTCTGTATACAAATAAATATAAAATTGTATCCATATACAATCTGATTATCCAACTAATCGTGCTATATTTCTGATAACATCTGCTCCTTTCACTTGCAGATTCTCTGAATTAGAATGCTGCTGATATTTCACGGGTTGGCTGCCAGTCTGCTGGCTGCAGTGGCCTTTGCTGGAACCGAGAGGGACACCATTCCCGGCTGTGACTACTTCGACACGGTGAACGTGACGGGGAGCCAGCGGCTGATCAATGGTTCGTTTCTGTACCAGGGCCTGCTCATTCCGGCCGAGCTTACGGCTGAATTTTGCCACAGGCTAATGCCGGACTACACGTTCGTGCGAGGATGCGTTTGCCGGCTGAGGCCCTGTCTGCGGCTCTGCTGCCACCACTCTCAGTTGATGGCCAATGGGCAGTGCGGTGGCAGCATCGAGATGGACCTGACACGACTGAATCCGTACCTGAACGTGACGCTGGACAACGGCACGGTGGCAAGGCGACACTTCCAGACTGAGTTTGTCATTCAGAGCGATCTGCCGCTTCCCTGCAACGATATGTACCCACTCAACGATGGAGAGGAGATGGATCAGTACATAGTGTTTGAGGTTTGGACCCCCGCCATCTGTACCCCGTATCCCGCGAATTCTAATGCCAGTGATCTTCCTTAGAATGGGTCCTTCTTCCGATCCTACGACAGTGCAACGATGAGCAAGCGGGAATACTGCCTTCAGCCGTATCACTTCAACAAAGGCGAGACGGAGTCATTCCGGATAATTGCCCACGACTGCACGATTGAGTCGAAAGAGTCGAAAGTCGACAAGATTGGCCAAACCATTGGTGAGCACTGTTCCAATCCTTTCCGATCTTTGATCACATCTAAACTATTTCTTTTGCTATCCTCAGTGATCGTGCTTAGCCTCTTGTGCCTCGCCTGCACGATCACCGTCTATCTGTATCTGAAGAAGCTGCAGAATCTCCATGGAAAGTGTTTCGTTTGCTGTCTGTTCTGCCTGTTTATAGTTTACCTTTGCCTACTGCTGGACTTGTGGGATCTGACAATGAACATTTGCCAGCCATCAGGTAGTCTTCCTTATCGGATATTAGTTCAGAAGCAATCGAATATCAACCTCTCTTCCCACTGTAGGTTACATTGGCTACTACTTCGCGATGGCCATGTTCCTGTGGCTGTCAGTCATCAGTTGGAATCTCCGCTGCACACTCGGCTGCAGTGTGAGCGCTCTGAGTCGGGATCTGCCGGCATACGTGTTTCTTGTGTGCCACATCTATGCCTGGGGAGTGGCGCTCATACTCACGGCCGTCACTTATATGGTGGATCACCTAGTGGAGGATAATGCGGAGAATGAGTCCTGGATGCCAGGCGTTGGGTTCTACAACTGTTGGATCAAGAGTGGGTCGCTTAGCTGTCTCCTGTTGGGTTGGACTAACAGTATTCAACAGTATTCAACTCTTCCTGTAGCTCACGACTGGTCGGCCATGCTTTACTTCTATGGACCGATGTCGATTCTGATCATTTTCAATGTTACCATGTTCATTCTCACGGCAATGCGAATTGTTGCGGATAAACGCGAACTGCAGGATATTGGCGATCGCCAGGAGAGAAAGCGCAAACTAAACTCCGACAAACAGACGTACGAATTTTAACCGCACATGTTCTAACAGATGTCATCAATCGATTATCGATTGTCTGTGTTCTTATCCCACTCACAGCTATTGCTTCTTTCTGCGACTCTTCATCATCATGGGCGTGCACTGGAGCCTGGAGATACTCTACTACTTGTTGCAGGACGACCGGATAGTGAATAAAGTGTTTCTGGTGGCCGATTACTTCAACTGGACTTCACAGGGCATCATCATCTTTTTCCTGTTCGTGATGAAGCGCAGTGTTTTGAGGTTGTTCAAGGAACGGTAAGCGATCGGGTTGCATCACGAAAATATCTCCGTAACGACGATTGTTCCGAGGAATATATATCACTCGAAGAGTGCTCGAGGTAAAGCGACTGATTCTCCTCTCATTTCGTTGGTGTTTGGCCTGTACTTTGGTGTCGGCTAACTACTAAAACTTATTGAATAGATCTTTACTCCCAGCATAGTTAAGGTTCTCTTTTCTGGTGCTAGCTTTAGTAATTTACTGGTCAGAATTCTGCTAACCCGTTTGCTCCCTTTCTGCCTGATTTCTATCCTCAACTAAACCTCTAACATTTGATCTCTCTCCTAGAAATCAGTCAAGGAACACACGAAGTGTCGCAAGCATCAAATTCCACTCGAGTCGCAATACAAATGGACGTCAAACAGCTCAACTCCCGCAAGATAACTCAACCGCGCAGGTCTCTATCCAGATGTAGGAGCCATTCTATGGAAAGCTTACTTACGGCCAATACCAGACACCATTTTACCGCTTCGTGCCAAACCATCGTTTTTATACCCGTACTCAAAAAAGAGTTAAGGGGTATATTAGATTTGTGGTAAAAGTGGATGTGTGCAACGCAGAGAAGGAAACGTTTCCGACCCCATAAAGTATATATATTCTTGATCAGCATCAATAGCCGAGTCGATAGAGCCATGTCTGTCTGTCCGTCTGTCCGTCTGACCGTCTGTCCGTCTTGTTTGACGCCTGGATCTCAGAGACTATAAGAGCTAGGGCAACCAAATTTGGTTTCCAGACTCATGTGATATCACACTGCTACAAGTGTATTTCAAAATTTCGCCCCACCCCCTTCCGCCCCCACAAATGACGAAAATCTGTGGCAGGCACAATTTTAAAGATACGATAAAACTAAAAACGCAGTATCGTAGAGAATGACCATATCTACCAGACTGCCGAATCTGAATCAGATCGGAAAATAATTATAGCCAGAATGAAGAAATTAATTTTCAGTTGGCTCCCCTGCCCCCTCCTGCCAACGACAACGCAACTCATTTTCCCTTCTCGCTCGCACACTCTGCCGCGTTCAGTGCGCGAGCAACCCCTAGCGGAGGAGATGTAGAATCTAAATGGTACATGTTTAATCTACATGTTAGATGTAGAATATACATAATATATGTTGATGTAGATAACAAAAATGGAAAAATGTAAAATGTAAAATTTTTTTTTTAATTCTAAAATTCTAAAAAATCATATGCTCAAAAATTTATATAGTGACTGAGTACGGGTATAAGTAGAGTCGCGTCTTTAGAAGCGACTCGCACGTTCCTTCTCGTTTTTTCTGGGACAGAACTTTTTTTTAAATAATTAAAAACACATTTTTTTTTTTATATAATTTAATTATCCTGAATATGGCTGTAATGAACTTGGCATTGTGAAAAGCTGATGAATGCATCTATAAAGTATACCTGAAAATGTTGTAGCTTCAGCTTACCGTCCGGAAAATATTAAAATTTTTTTACTTTAAAAACTCAGATAAAATTGAACAAAATCTTAAGAGAATGCATAGTTATAGCAATTATCCAGAAAGAAATAAGTTTGTCGTTAAATTTGAATTGACGAGCTCATGGCAAATATTCACGCAGAAATCATCGCTATACCGCCCGAGATGCTCGAAAATGTAATGGAAAACGCTGCAAAAGAGGTACATTTTACTGTGTCCAACAATGGCGGCCACTGGATACTGGATTAATTTTGTTTTCCAAAATTAGTCTCAGCAAACTCTAAAAGAACCAAATTAAATAAAAATACCCTTTATATAAAAAAATAGGTTGACAACTGTCAAACTTATTCAAGGTTTGCATAGAGCACTAAAAGTTGGCGTACCCTGTACATATGTACATATATGTATATATATGCTTTAATTTTTGTCGAGATCATTATATGCCCGCCTGACTATACTTATCACTCAAACCCGCTGACTTTGCACTTTGGCACTTTCTACACTTTCATATTTAAAATGATGCAACTGTACATTTCTTAGGAGAGAAAATGAGAGAAAAAGATTTCACTATGAGAAAATTCATCAATGAAGATTAATTTGCAGCCAAACAAAATAAAATAAAATGGATTTGCACAAGGCACAAGAGCCCAAGCATCGGCCTTGAAACATAAAATTTCATTGTTGTTTCTATGCGGCGGTAATTAGATTTCGAAGAAATCTAATAAATATTGAAATAAATTAATTCTATATAAGATTTTCGGGGAAAAATAGCACCATTAAAGAGGCTAAAGTCCGGGTCACTATTCCAGAGATTTCAGCAAATACCGATTAAAATGAGGAAAGCGAATAACTTTAACAACTTTCAGATACTCTTGCTAGGCAATTGATTCTATGACGGATAAGTTCCCTGAATTCTTGTATAGTAGCTGTTCTAAATTGAGGATATGGAAATAATGGCAGTGATATGGAATTTCATTTAATGATATTTCATAAATGAAAGAACGACAGCTATAAGATATTCAGCATACCCGGCCTTGGTCCATTTAATTATAATTCGAGTCCATGCCGGAAGCGGCGAACAACTTAAATATATACATATATAAAAATACATATTTTGATACATACATAATATATGAAAAGATTAGAATTAGTTTAAAATTTAAATATATGCGTACATGGGCGTACCCAGGTAGAGGCTGGGAGGGATGAAGCTTCCCCCATCCATTAAGCATAGTTTTTGGTAAGAAAAACCAATTTTAATTGAATGACATTTTTGTTGTTTAAGTGATTTCATGTGAAAGGGGTGCCGCCCCTTCGCGAAATCCTGGTTACGCCCTTGTACATATGTATACTGTATTAAGCATGTCGTATGAGCAAAGTGATAACAATAAATATATTTAAATGGGACTTGAATTGGAAATCAGTTCAGTTTTGCATCGACAGTGCGAGAGTCAAGTGAAATATGAAGTTCTCGACGTTTCTGGTCCTTATCCTTTGGATGTTTCTGCAGGGGATGTCCTCCCTTGCCAGTGGATACGAAATGGCGCAGGATGTTAGCTTCCCGGAGCAGTGCCATGGATATTGTTTCTCAGTACTCCAGCCATTAATCGATCATGTTCTCAAGTTAAAAGAGGCAACGGATGACAATGATAAAATGAAAGTCGAAAAAATACACTCACTGGAGCTTACCATTAACAATTTGCAGAGTCAGCTACTAAAAAGTGAGACGGAAATAAAAAACAATGTGGAGCAAATCAAGGTTAAAGACGAACAAATCAAGCAGAAAGACGATCAAATCAAGCTGAAAGACGATCAAATCAAGCAGAAAGACGATCAAATCAAGCAGAAAGACGAACAAATTAAGAATCTCAGAAAGCAAATCAATGGGAAAGTAGGGAAAATCATCGTGAAAGTCGAAGAAATCAAGAATCTCAGAGAGGATGTGAAGATGATTTCGTGTCTCAATAGTGGCTCAGATGACATTTTTAAGATGAAGGTCAAGGGAATGGAGCAGTTTGAAAGTCCCTGCGATTCGCCTCGATGGACGGTCATTCAACGGCGTATCAACGGAAGTGTTGACTTTAATCGCAACTGGACGGATTACAAAAATGGATTTGGAGATGAACGGGGAAGTTTCTTCCTGGGACTGAACAAAATCCATCTAATGACCCTGGTCCAGCCTCACGAGCTGTACATCCAACTTAGAGATGTGAATGGAACCACAAAATATGCTCGATACGATGATTTCAAAGTAGGAAGTGAAAATGAAGCCTACAAACTGAAATCGCTGGGAGAGTATTCAGGAACAGCCGGAGACTCATTTAGTTACAATCTAGACATGAAGTTTACCACATTGGACCGGGATAATGACATGTTAGAGAAACGCAATTGCGCGGAAAAGCATGCAGGTGGTTGGTGGTTTAATGCTTGCTCTCGAAGGTACTCATATTTGTGAATGTGAATTCAGACGAATTTATCGTATTAATTTTCTTATTGTTACAGTTCCCTCAATGCAAAATATTATGACGATGGTAAAAGAACTCCCCTTCAAATATTCGGCATTCATTGGGCTACTTGGAAGAACTACAATGACTACACGACCTCGCTTACATTTTCTCAAATGATGATAAGACCTAAACCGTTATAAAATGAGTCTCTTTGATGACATTTTAATAGTTAAGTTAATCCAGAAAGACGAATAAATCTATCCACTTTTAATGTGTGCTAAAATGAGTTTACAATTGAATATTCAAATATTTGTTAGCATTCATTTTTAAAGCTTCCTTCATGGTTTTAAAAGTACTGTTTGGACATTTTGTTTTCCCTTCCTGGTTTTCCCAATCCAATAAAGGGACTCCTTGAAATAAGCTAAATTGTGGTAAATTGATTCATCAATCGGATACAATTTTCCGGGGCACCACAGAAATCACTTCCGCTTGAATTTCTCCTCAATTCCATTCCGCGGTGCCACACACCGATTTCTACGCTGTTTCGAAATCGCGCCCTTTTGATCCAGCGATTTGATTAAATACACCCATAAAACACGCCCTAAGCAATTCCAATCTTACTTTCCCACAAAGGTAGTTCAATTGCTGATTAACCCTCATCCAAATAATTTAACATTATACATGTTAAGTTAATAAAATAAGCATTGTAGTAAATCACTATCCAATCCGCTGACTGAATTTTCACTTATTTTGAATTTTGAAACAAAACAGTGTAACCGTAGAGTATGCACTTTTGCACACTGTGGTCACACCGCACCTATCGAAATGTATTACACTCGGTATTTTTTGCACATAAGTAGTATATTTCGGTATATTTGCGAGGGTCAGAATAGTCCGCGGTCACACTGAACAAAACACGTGTGGCGTGCGCCGCAATAATATTAATTTAATTCGTTTTGATTTGTGCAAGGAAAACGGATTACGGATTCAAAATGACAACTTCATTGGCCCAACAGCTGCAGAAATTGGCAGCACCGCAGACAACGGTAACGCTCGCCGATGCCCGCAGTCGCGCCTCGATACTGTTCGATCCGAAGGCGGCGGCCACCAAAGACAGGAGGGCCATCTATGAGATTGGACTGAGCGGACTGCAGGAGCTGACCGACTTTAATCCAGCGTTCAAGGAGTTCCAGTTGACGCTCTTCGATGAGGCCACGCTGACGCTTGAGCGCTCCGTGGAGCTGCCGGAGGTCAACAAAATGCTGGATGCGGCCATAGCCAAGTTTCTGCGTCTGCTGTCGCCGTATATACTGCTGAGGCCGGCGCACATGGCGTTCGAGTGGCTGTTGCGCCGCTTCCAAATCCACGAATACAACAGGGGCGAGGTGATGGCGTTGATACTGCCGTACCACGAGACAAACATATTTGTCCAGATCCTACAGACAATGAGGCTGCGCGAGGTGGACGCCGAGTGGTTCTGGCTGCGTCCACTGCAGCGACCCGGCGTGCCACTAGCCAAGACGGCCCTGATAAATCGAGCAGCCAGCAATCCCGCCTTCCTCAGCTTCGTTTGTCGCAGCACTCGCAAGGCCGTCAAGGAATTGGGTCCACGAGCCCATCAACTGCAGGCGCAAATCAATTTCTATGCCACCATCGTTGTGGGCGCACTGCAAACGGCCAAACCACTGGAGGATTGGCATATAAGTACCATATTGGAGGCACTGCTGCAGGGCCTGGTAGCCGACACAATCGATTTCATGGCCGCTTCCTATGTGATTGTGGCCCAACTGGTGTCGCGCACCAAGCTGAAGAGCAAGGTCTGCAATGCCCTGCTGGAGCGTGTGGCCAACTGTCCATTCGAGCGCCTGCAAACGGAATCCCTGCTGCTGCTGGTGTGCATCTATGGCAAGCAACAGGCTGCGGGGCCACAGCTTAAGCCGCAAACTGTTTTGAATTTTATTGGCCAAAAATGGCTGATTGCTGCCCTGGCATCGCTGGCGAATGGCAATTTTGCCATACAATCTTTATGCATGCCACTGATGACGGGCGCTGTGACGGCCATTCGAGAGGATGATCCTTCATCGGATTCCTACAAGCAATTCCTCGACAATCTGCTATCCGATGTGCCCTTCCACAAGCCCTCTGCTCAGCAGTTGATCAAGTGAGTAATTCAGACAGTGGCCGCCGAGCTTTACGTAAACATACATATTACTGATCCCTCTCTCTATTTCTTTTAGTTGCTTTTTGGATTGTTTTGTGAATACCGAAAGCGAGGCAGCGGCATTCCCCCCACCCATACCCATACCCATGGATGAGGATACAATTGTCATTGATTCGGATGATGAAATGGAAGCCGAGAAAAGCAGCTTTCAGACCTGGTATGCTGCCTACCTGGAGAAGCTAGAGAAACGCTATCCGGAGGCCTTCGATTTGAGTGTCAAAGAGGCACTGAGAGCTAGATCCACGACCAGCAATCGCCAGAAAGCCCTGAAATTGGCTTTGGGTGAGTGCCAAATGGCTTCTAATTATATTCCTTTGTACTATTTATGGCCCTTTTTGAACCCATAGGTTTCCGTTTAAACACCACGGATGAAAAGGCCAAGCGTGTCTACGAGAAACTCTATCACTACAGCTCCGATTGGCGGCTCAGCGCCGTACAGCACCTTGTGCAGAATCTGAAATCGGATAAGAAACGCGAACGTGGCGCCCGGCTATTGCAGGAATGTCTGCCCGATCGAATCAACGATGATAGCGGCGCTGTGGTGGCAGCCATACTGTCGCTGCCCACCGAGCTGCTCTTGCAAATGCTGGAACCCCTGGTCTTTGCCCAGACTCTGTGTCGCCTGCTGCGTCGTGCCCAAGCCCAGCAGCAGCAGCATAAGGAATGGCGTGCCCTCGTTCCACTGACAGTCCTGCACCTGACCACGGCTGCGGTTAGCAATCATTATGACACGAACCTAGTGCTGCTGGCCCTCATGCCGCTGCTCTTTCCGTCCGAGCCACTGGCCGAGCACGAGCACAGTGCCCTGCTGATGATACTGAAGAGCGAGTTCTGCGCCAAGGTGCCATTTCTGGGCCAACTGAAGGTCAGCAAGAAGTACCCAGAGTTTGCGGTGACCAAGCATCGGCAGCAGTTTCTGGATGTGATAGCCGGGAGCAGCCATGAGCTGTTCAGCCAGGAGCAGGCCCTGCTGCAAAGTGTCGAAGAGCATGGGGGCGAGGCCCACTTGCAGGAGGCATCCCAATTGACGCATCTGCTGCTCCTGCTCACCGCCTATGCCAAGCGGCAGCTGCAACCCCAAGACAGTCTGCATATACTGGAGAGGATCTGCCTGTACAGCCGCGGCGTTCAGTTCAGAGCCATTAAGGGCAATCGCGGCGACCAGAACTTTGTGCCGCTTCAGCTATACCTTGACTTTCTGCTCACTTTGGCGCGTAATACCAAATGGACGGGTCTGGTGGCCATACCCTGGACACAGCCAACGGATGGACTGCGCCTCTGCCTGCGTCTCATGGAGATTCTGGGCGCCCAAGTGTTCAGCGAACGCTGTGAGCCTGCGGAGCGTGTGGAATGGACACAGGCACTCAAGCGATGCCTCATCATGATGCTGCCCGCACCACAGCACAAGCTGGAGTTCCTATCCAATTTCTGTGTGTTCGAGAGGCTGCCAGAACTGTGGCCCAATGACTCGGACTATACGGTGTGCCGAGTGCAGGGCTTCCTGCTGCTGGAGGCGGTGATTGCCAACCAAGACTCCAAGCTGGACTGCAGCCTATTGCATGTGCTGCGTGTGGCCAACGCCTGTGGCTCGCCACTGCAAACACTCCGACTGCAGGCCATGGACACCCTTCAGTTGATGAGCCAACGGGAGCTCGAGCCGCATGTCCAGCAGCTGGTGAAGGCGCTGCTCCAGCGCAGAAGCGAACTGGGCATGGATCACGAGCAGTACGCGCTGATACTCTACACAATACTGCAGCCAGAGCAGGCCACGCCCAAGGAGAAGCTAATGCTATCGAAGCTACGTCGAGCCGTGCTGGCCCTGGCCTCTGATCCAGAGCAGCCACCGATATGCACAGACTTTCTGCTGCGAGCCCTTAAGCATGTGAACGATGAGCACTTCCTGACCGCCCTCCTGCCGCTGGGTATTGCGGCTCTGCAGAAGATTGCGCTCGCCCAGGGGCCCAACTGTCAGCTGAAGCAGCTGCCGTGGCCCCACAGTGAGATCTACAAATCGGTGATGGAACGCTACGAAGGGAATATAGCGCTGAATGTGTTGCAGCGGCAACCGCTCGCCTGGGATCTGTTCGAGGCAAGTTTCGCGCATCATGATGCCTACATTCAGCTGGACCAGAAGCTGCAGCCCATACCGTGTGTCCTGCTGGGCATCCTCACGCCCGAAACGTACGAGCGGCTGCAGTCGAAGCACAAGGTATCGCTGATCAGGCTGATTGTGGAGGCAGCCACCAGGGCGGACAACGATAGCATCTTTCTGGCCAGCCATCGGCTGCTCAAGCGCTGCCGCATGGAATGCCAGCCCCTGGTGCAAATGCTAACGGATATGTGCGGCAAGGGTGTGCGCGCCAAGACGCCCACGAAGCGTGGCAGTACAGCCACCAAGCAGGTGGATCTCACCAGCGCCTCCTGGAAGCAGGGCATGACGCTGCTGGAGCTGCTGGAGAGCAAGAAACAGCTGATTGGCTCGGAGCTGCTGATACCCACACTCTTCGAGCTGCTTCAGTCGTGCCTCACGCTGGAGGAGCACACCGCTGCCGAGTATCCCAAGCAGCTGATCCTCTCCAGCCTGCTGCACTGCTGCCAAACGGCCCAAGCGACGGGGGTGCAGCTGGCCAGGGCACTGCCCGAGTCCTGCTTCCGCATCGAGCAGGTGGTCCAGTGCCTGAGGAACACGAAGAATCCGCAGACCCAGCAGCATGCCCTTCTCTTTCTGACCCACTGCGCGGGTCTGTATCCGCAGCAGGTGCTGCACAAGATTGTCGAAATCTTCACGTTCGTCGGCTCCACTGTGGCCCGGCACGACGATGCCTTCAGTCTGCACATCATCCACAACGTGGTGGAGTCCATTATACCCATCCTGCTGCTCAATACCGGACAAAGGGATCGCCTGGTCATACCCGTGCTGAAGGTATTCGCGGACATCTGCACGGATGTGCCAGTGCACCGGCGGCTGTCGCTCTATGC